GAGCGTACGTAATCAATACAATACAATGTTCATTATAAATTATCATGTTCTCGGTGAGATGCACGGATATCGTCGAACGGCACGTGTAATGCAATCCACACAACATCCATACATAATGTGATTAATTAATCACATTATGTATAGATGTTTAGCACATTCAACAGTAAATTTTCAACATGATTCATCAAGTTTGTGTGCAGTTTTTTTTTTTTACAATTTCGTATAACTCCAAGATCCTGGCTTATTCCAAAGAATTGAAAGTTTTGACAACGGAAAACTATCAGTATATTTTATCTGTGCAATTTCAACCTAATAGGTAGAACTAGTTTGCAAAGAGTGAGATTAGTTGATGTAAGGATAAAAATATAGGTAAATATAAAGTAATGAAACGCCACAAAAGTAGACACTAAAATAGTTTTTATTGCTCATATTTAGTAATAATCATTTTAGGAACTCGTGGGGAAAATGGAATTAAAGATAAATTAATGTATATTATGTACGATAAGAGTAGTCTATGAGGGCATTCCGAAATTCACGTTAATTGAAAACAACCTTTTTGAAATACTAAACAAAATTAAATTGTAATAATGCGTTTAAATACAGCTTTCATTTACTCGTGTACATTTAACACCCTCAGCGCCAGACCCTAAGTGGCCGTTCTTTCAAATTTTGCTTTGTGTTTCTGTTCGTATGTGTTTAAAACAACATAATAATCGTATTTGTCTTTGACACCCTCCCTTTTTTTCTTTTTTTTACGGGATTTTATCCGTGTAACATTTAGATACACGTGGCCTGGGAAATAGTTTATGTGAAATGCATACCTCCTAGGCCATGTGTATCCAAATAGATACACGGGTAAAAATATAAGATACAAGAAACCACCTATGGACACAACCACACATGTAAACAGAGAAGATGTGTTGAAATTTTGGGCTCTAGTTGGGTGGATGTGTTTGGTCAAATTACCAAGTATCAAAGATTACTGGAGAAACCACAAACTCTATGGAATACCCCTAGCTCGTACTGGAAATGGACCGGGCTAATTCTGAAATTTGTCCATTTCGCCAGCAATAAAACTGCTGATACTAATGAAAGGATGTACAAAGTAAAAGAAGTAATCGATATGTTTATAAAAACTATAAAAATGTCTACACACCAGGAGAAAAAGTTTGTGTCGATGAGTCATTGGTTGCTTTGCGCGGCAGAGTTATTTTCCGGAAGTACATTCCGAACAAAAGTGCCAAATATGGAATACAGCTATTCAAATTGTGTATTGAAAAGGGATATACATGGAACCTGATTGTGTACTGTGGTAAATCGAAGTACCCTGACACAGAAGTCTCAGAAAAGGTGGTTCTATCTTTGGCAGATGGTCTTTTCAATGTGGGCAGGACCATGTACACGGACAACTACTACACAAGTGTTCCACTTGCACTGCGAATGCGTAAAAGAAAGATAAAATAATCTGGTATTAAACCCCATTAAATCTAAGTATATGTTACTGGGAACACATAACCAGACAAATACTATTCTAACTTTCAATCCGCTAATTAACATCAAGAGTAATCCTTTAGAACGTGTATTGGAAGCTCGGAACTTAGGTCTCGTTATGGATGGAAGGTTGCGTTTTGAGGGTCATGTACAAGAAACCATGCGTAACTGTTTCTATAGACTCAAAGTCTTGTACCAGATAAGAGAGTATTTGAGAGTGGATATGCGCATTAGGTTGTGTGAAGCACTCATTCTGTCGAAGCTAACTTATGCGGTGAAAAAATAAATGAATGTTATAAAAAATACGGCAGGAAAGGAAAAACCATCGACGGAAAACTGCGAAAAGTAGTAACCAAATGTTCTGTTTATGAAGCGGCTTTTTGTAAAAGCTGTTTGAATGATCGTCACTTAATTTTTTATTTGTTTATTTTTTTTCGATTATAATTTATTTTTATTATTTTGTCAAGTCTGGTGCCACATATAAAGAAAGATATAATAAAAACACTACAATGTATTAATGGTTTTATTGATTATTTGCCTAGGTATCCGGGAAATATCACACTAAAATTTAAAAGCCTATAACTTTCTTGAAAAATAACCGATTCCCAGACCATTTATACTGAAAACAAATGCGACAGGTCAGGGCTTTTATTTTTCCATTATAAATATATAGAAAAGGTGTACCTAAAATATACACAGCACTTTGACCAAGTAGAAAGATGTGTATACTTTTGGATACACAATGTTCCAGACAATGTGTGCCAAAAAGATACACATGGCGCCGAAGGTGTTAAAGCACACGAATCTATAGCTATATAACACCTGAATACACACTTGAATGTTTCGTATTCTGCGATATTACCGATTTAAGATTATGCAACGATATTGTATCTTTACGAATAATTAATTACAAATACAAATCATTGCAAAAGAATTAAAATTTTACTGATATTACAATGTTCAATTTTAAATTAATGATTTTCTTTTCTTTAATATATTATATCTTAAACTCGCCCCTGTCTAAAACGTCCAAGGTATCAAATTGATTAATGATTTGGGTTGTATTTTGGAAGTACGAGGCAAATAAAATGTAGTTATATAATAGGCACTTAAAACAGAGACGATGGAATTGACTCTGATTATAATTACCGGAGGAATTTGATGAATGCAGGTGGCTTATGGGCTTAGGACTGTGCTTTGTGTCATTCCTTCAGATAGGCCTATGTTCAGCAGTGCATTTATGGAGGGCTATAACTAGGGTTGCCACCCCTACTATAACATATATCTTACTATATTTCAGCCAATTGTACTATATTACAGAAAAATAATATAGTACGAAAAATAACATATTTTAACCTAATTCAACTGTCGCGGTTTTTTGTATCAACTGTGACTGGAAATCTGAAATATGTAAGTTTTACGGAAATAATTTTTTCCGTCTTGAATATAAATTGGAAAGAAGAAAAAAATAGCGCATGTATTAATTTAATTAAACATGAATTATTAATTTATTTTAATATACATCTAAATTGCTCATATTCCTATAATTATTTTATAGATCATTGCTGGCCACAGCGAATAGCAATTAAAAATATACAAAACTTTTTTTTTTCTTGAATGTACCAAAAGTACTATATTTTATATCTTTTTTGGGAAAAGTACTATATTCGCTCAAAAAAATTTGGCAACCCTAGCTATAATAATGATAATGATGATAGTATGGTAGTGGCGTCGTAAAGCATAGCATACGTTTATCCAAGTGTTAGGGACAACGCAGTGGCATTTTTAGTTATGTAACAACTTACTTCTCACTTGAAGGCGGTTAAAATTAGAAATTGAGCTTAGCCTTTAAGTGTATTCAGGCAGAGTGTTTATTTATAAAGTGAAGTGATTGATTGCTAATATAACTCTGCCGCCTGCCGCCCTACGCCCAATCATCCCATCAATCCAAACAAAAAACATTTACCTACGCATCTATTATTTCGGTTCTTCACGGAAGGTGGATAAAGGTATCTATAGACTACAGTAGTTCGTTACTAATAGACAGGTTGTGTATTTGTTGTTAAAAGCAATCATCATCATCATTACAGCCCTTCACAAGTCCACTGCTGAACATAGGCCTCCCCCAAGGAATGCTACAAAGCACGGCCAGCCGCCTGCAACCATTGACATTGACATCCTACATGTGCTACCAGGTTGTCACTACATCTAGTGGGGCGACGGCCAACACTTCGCCTGCCGGTACGCGGCTGCCACCCGAGAAACTTTCTTCATTAAAAGAAAATTATTAAAAAAATATCTTTATTATTGACCAAATCAAAGAGAATTGCAATTTGATTCCCAAGGTAAACAACGGAAGACGGTATCTCAAATGTTTTGAAACTGTTTCCTACTTCAACTAGGTATAAAAACGTTTTATGGAGATTGTTAACCGGCAAAATGGCAGAGCTATATTTAACTTGTAATAATAAACCTAGCAAGCTAACAGCATAGCAAAGTGGCGAAGCAATCAGCTTTGTAGCGGTTTCTAACGGTTGCCGTTGAGCTATCAGTTTCAAAATAGGAGGTTCAGATGCCTGGGTGATGAGTAATCGATTGCTGAAAACAGAATTTGAAAATTCAAAACCGTTCTCGAGATAATCGTGGGACAGACGGACAGACGGACAGACATCGTGCAATCAATGACTTCGCAAGCTTCGCCACTTAATAAGTAGTCACAATTTACAAGAAGAAAAGGCAGAAAAATTCAAATTTAAAAAATGTTTTTAGGGTTTAAAAATATATCAGTGTATCAATATATTACTTTCATTAAACGACTTCAAAAAAAAGGGGTTAACAATTCGAACGTATGTTCTTTTGTTGTTACGCGACGTCATCAATAATTGAGAAAGGATTTTGATGATTCTTTTTTTTTTTATTAAATAAGATATACTTCAAAGGTGGAGGAAATATGTGATCCCTGAAATTGTAAAATAGGGGTTGAAGTTTCAAATGTAACTACTTAAACGACGTTTAGATTGTGATATTCCTTATGTTACTCAAAATGGTAAAAAATTAGCTTATAATATTTTATAAACTATGCCTTAGTTCCGACTTCAGATTGTCAAATTATTTTATTATTTTTAATTCTTTGCTTTTAATGTTTACTATCGATGCGCAATGGCTTCGCCTGGGTAGTAGCTATTAATGTGGCGGTTTTTTTTTTATTTAAGATACAGTACAAAGACTATATGCTTACTGTATTTTAACAATTTTTCGATTTCTTAAAAAAAATCCTAATGATTTTCGGATAAAGTATAGACCTAGATCGCTCGTGGCATTGCTCTCTATCTGTTCGTGAAGTTTCACTACGATCGATTCAGTCATTCCGAAGACTAGATCGTTCATTACAGACATACGGACAGACAAAAATTTATATAATAACTCAATTAGCTCAATATAAGGCAATTATTTCGATATTACAGATTGTGTATTTATAGTGATTTTTTGAAGTACGTTCATAAACTTACGTGTTTGATGTTGAAGTGCAGGATGCTCTCGATGTAGGTGGGCAGCTGGTTAACGACGGTGAAGTAGCCGAAGACCGAAGCGCCGTGCGTGATGATGATCGCCCACACTGGAGGCGACAGGAGCATACTGCGCCAAGGTACCGGCATGTGCTGGTGATGAGAGGTGCTCGTCAGAATCACGTAACTTTGCGTTATTATGGCTCCTTATGAAACAAAAAACATTTCTAGGAAGCGGAGTTGAGGTGATGGTGTTGTTTGGTATGGTAGCTCATCATCATCAGCCCTTCACAAGTCCATTGCTGAACACAGGCTTCCCCCAAGGAATGCCACAAAGCACGGTCCTGAGCCACCTGCATCCATCGACTTTCTGCATGTCTTACCAAGCTTCATCTACTACCTATTGTGGTTTATACGCGAAAGAAAGGTGGTGCTCTTCAGAGCAAGCAATACAAAATGCAGCATTGTAGATATTTGGTCAACACAACATACACACGTATAATCACATTATTTCTGCATAGTAATCAATTTGTTTACTTTACACATATTTCACAACTATGTTAATTTAGAAAAAAAAGTCGGCCAAATGAGAGTCGAACTCGCGCATGAAGGAATCCGTACCACCGTAAAACACGTTTCTAGTACCGACACGACTGGAGAGAGATCAGGCGCAGGACCAACGGCTTTACGTGCTTTCCGAGGCACGGGGGTGAGACACCGCCAGCTGCCTGACTCCGGGCAGCTACTGAGAATTCTTCGATGGACAAGCTCGATAATTTTTTTTTTGACCCGACCCGGGATTCAAACCCGAGACCTCATGATCAGCAGTCGCACAACTACAACCACCAGACCAACGAGGCAGTCAATGTATGTATGAGTGTGTTATTGAATTAAAATACAACACGCATGTACAACGTACATCCTTCCACTTAGAGGAAATGGAGTGTCTATTCAAATCCGGGCTTTGTGTGGTGAGTCGAATCAAAAATAAATCCCCCCGGCTTGCATTATGGTTTGTCCAGCCTCATTATGCTGGGAAGGCGGCATTGGTGCCGATACTATTGGAGTGGACTTGCTATTACACATCACTAGCCTAAACAAAATGTATCATCACCAGGTCAGGGTCAAATTTGTATATCCGTCTTTTGCATAGGGCAATTCAGGAGATTTAAGTAAACGCCCTGGTTCCTCCATTTCGATATGGCCCCTATACTTTTGCAAGCACGATGGGGTGGGTATTCGTTTATTGCAATAATTGTGCCAATCTACAATAATGTCACCTTTAACAGATTTGCAATATCTCTTGCGTAAGCGGTGCATAGATATGGAATCGCAGACATTTGGCAAATGTAGAGTATGTATGTGGGCGGTAGTTGATCATCAATTTATTGTTACATCGACAACGCAATTCAACAGGACACAGGGATATGATTCCCTGATTTTACTTCCGATTAAACAATGTAATAACAATCGAACGAACAATATACCGGTGGCTTCAAAAATGGCCCTCTCTTATAATATTACAGGAACTACTTTTCCAGTTAAATGTACATATGTATGGTGTAAGGGTATTCGAACCCTGTTCCCCGAGTAATATCGTTGAGGCATTCCATCTTTTTCAGAGTTGACAACGCATCTGCATCCATAATCGAGCCTAAATGTAAGTGGACTGTGTGTCCGTTCGCCACATTATTCTTTTCAACCGATTTCAAAAACGTTCTCAATTCGAGTAGGTACATGTTTTTTTTGTATGTATGTTACGCGATATCGTAGCAGCTTATGGACCAATTTTGATGATTATTTTTTTATTAAATAGGTTATACTTCAAGAGTAGTCCCATGTAAATTTGGAAAAAATATTCAACCCCTAAGGGTCTAATAAAAAAAAAAAAACTAATAATTTCTTTAATTAGTTATATTATTAAAGAAATAATTAGTTTTTAGATTAAAAGAGTCTACTGTCAGGAAGCCTGCAGGAATCTCCTACAGATTATAACTGTAAAAGGAATATTAAATGTCAACAATAAATATTAAAACCAGTCTATTCCCCGCTTCTCTTAGAGAAAGTGAACGCCAGTTAAATCGTAAAACAGTTTATTGTCTAATATAACCCAACCTCTACGTCTCGGTGCAGTTGAATGGCATTTGAATTAACAGATCAATGATTTCAACGGAGAAAACTATACCAGTTCTATTGTATTGCAAAGTAAGCTGCTAAAAGCCGTTTTCCCTTTGAAGTTTAAATATAAATGTACTATTGATATTTTATTGACTCAAAGTAATTTTGACGGTTGTACTCGTAATCGCATATCGCATATATTACATAAACTTCGATTGCTGTCCGTTCGTTTCGCAACAACTCGATATTGGCTGGACCGATTTCGATGAAATTTTGTTGTGTGTGTCTTAGTGTGAACCTGAATAGTTGTCTTTTTATTGTCTTTGGATTGGACCCGGTAGGTGGCAATGTTGTCAAGATCCAGAAATCACCTGTGCGAAGCCGGAGCGGATCGCTTAGTTAACTTATATTTCCAACGTTTTGAGTACTTTATAACGTTCGACGTCTCAATATCCACTCCCAAATACCACGGCTATGTTCAAGTTTAATAAATATTTTTTGGTCAGGCTTACGCAGTATGAACTAATCATATCTCTAAGTATTGCAGTTGTATGCTTGAATTGGGATTTAATTCTATTAATTGTTCGACCCCAAGCAGATGGTAGAACCCAACCGTCTTCTCCGTTGAAATTAGGATGTTATGCGATTTCCTTTTTTGGAATTCTTTAACAAGGATTTGTGGATAGTGATAGGGGCGTTCCTGTACGTGTTTACAGACTGCAGACTTCCTGAAGCGTCCCCCAATGACCATGTAAAATGCTATTGAAATCAAAAAAACATCCTAATTTCAATAGAGAAGATGGCCAGGTGCTACCATCTTCTTGGGGTCCTATAATTAATAAAATTAAATCCTTGGAAGGAATCGGTGTTTTTTAGGTAGGGTTTGTATACTGCAATCTTTCCGGAGCGTCGATTCTTCACACCGCCTGCCAAGCGTGACTGCTGATGGCAAACATCTTCCCCACGAGGTAACCTATAGAAAAGGCCTAGGTTCAACAGCGGACTCCTACTAAATTACTCTTAATGTTGTAACAACTCACTCCTTTAGTGTTGCTCTCCTGCGGCAGGGCTTTAAGCAGATAGTTGCGCTCGGTTTCAGAGATGCGCGGATGCTGTGCGGGCGAGTCGTACACCACGGCGAACCACGCCACGGACCACATCACTCCGATTATACCTAGACAAAAACATTTTAAAGTAGGTACTGTTAAAATATCAACTAATATCTTACAGACTGTTGACGTTATGATGATGATATCTTATTTCTGGTCTGTTCTACAGGTTTGCTTAATATGTTTTCTTTTACCGCAGCGTACAAGGTAACACTACGTTAACAGTTTTATTAGTGTCGGCAAGGGTCGAACCCCGGTTTGTCGTGTTCCGTAATAATCCCCCAAACCGGACTTTAGCCACAGCAGCCAATCTCACCGGAGACTAGACATCTGCGCAAGCTACGATTATAGTGTTCAAGAAAAGAGACAACAGGCACAGAGCTAACAGCTTTAAGAGTTTTCCGAGACGCGGAAGTGAAACACCGCAGCCTTCCTAAATCCGAGCTGCTAATGAGACTTTCTTGACAGAAAAGTCTACAGCTGACTTTAGCCCGACACGGGATCGAACCTAGGACTGACGAACATGCGTTTTCCAGTACGAGACTGCCACTCCAGAAGTAGTATTCGTCATCGGTTGTCGGTTCTTTATAGCTGGCCAATGTCATTTCAGATAACTGAACCGCTGGGCTATGGTAGTTACTTTTGTTCTTCTGTGGATACCTAAATTTTTTGGTAAATATTTTTTTACGTGGTAGAGCCATGCAGCAGCTGTATTAGTAGTATAGTTGTAGTATGAATGGGTCGGCTCGACCGGAGTACCACGCTCTCACAGAATACTAGCGTAAAATAGCAGCTTAACACTGCTGGGATTCGTATGGTGAGTGTAGAGAACCAGAGACCCTTTTTACTGGAAACGAGGCATTCCATCTTAGTCCTCACGGGTGACAACGCATGTGCATTTTGATTCTTTATTGAGGATAGATGTAGATGTCTGTGGGTCACAGCAACCACTTACCATCAGGTGGACTGTGTGCTCGTTTGTCATCCTATTCTATAAAAAAATATATAAAACATAATACATAGCGATGGACGTATCTGCCTAGTCCTGGGTTCGTATCGCAAATAAATTCAATGTTGGTAATGAACGCGTAATAGTGTTAATAAAGGTAATGATAATGTCTTACCAGTGAAGTAAAACGCAGATTCCCAACCAAAGTGCGCGATGAGGAACCCGCAGATCGGCATAGTCATTGCGGCACCAAGGGACGAAGCTGCAAAAATGGCTTTATTATTATAGGTACGTTAATTACGAGGCCGAGAGATTTTATAGCTTATTTAAACAAGGTTCGATAATTACAGTTATGTACTCGTAATAGCGCAATTCGCTTACTGTCGTCAACAAGTTTTTCAAGCGTGGTAGAGCCATACTGCAGCTATTTTATTAATATAGTTGTAGCACGAATGCGTCGGCTCGACCGGGGAAGGACCACGCTCTCACAGAATACCAGCGTGAAATACTCGTAGCAGCTTAATACTGCTGTGTTCGTATGGTGAGTGTAGAGAACCGGAGACCCTTTTTACTGGAAAAGAGGCATTCCATCTTAGTCCTCACGGGTGATAACGCATCTGCATTTTAATTCGCAAACAAAGATAGATGTAGATGTCTATGGGCCACAGCAACCACTTACCATTAGGTGGACTGTGTGCTCGTTTGTCACCCATATTCTATAAAAAAAAAAAGTTGAAAAAAATGGATTTATTGTAATACAGGCTAAGGAATCATGATGTTTATTTATAACTAGCGGATATCCGCAACTTCGTCCGCGTTGCTTGATATATTAACAAAGTTTTCGGATGTGCGAAAGAAAAAAACATGAAAAAGATCGCATACAAAATTTCTTTGTAAACAATGTTATTTGTTGCTCCGTTTGTAACCAAAATATATAAATTAGCTGGGTTAGTACCGCTAGAGCAAGCGACGTACAGGTGACCGTGTGAAAAATCTCGTATAAAAATCGTTGTTTCTTAAAACTTTAATAACTTTATCTATACAAATAAATAATATTGACGTGTCTGAAAGTATATACGGTACTTATAACAAAAACACAATTTTAAAATTTTTGTCTATCTGTCTGTCTGTTTGTTCCGGCTAATCTCCGGAATGGCTGGACCTTCACTGGCAGATAGCTGATGTTATAAGGAGTAACTCAGGCTATTTTTGTTTATAAAAAGAATTAGGTTTCCGTGCAAAAAAATTAAAACTCATGAAATGCAATCGTTATAAATTACACGCGGGCGAAGTCGCGGGGTACAGCTAGTATTAAATGGCATTCCATCTTAGTCCTCACGGGTGATAACGCATCTGCATTTTAATTCGCAAACGAAGATAGATGTAGATGTCTATGGGCCACAGCAACCACTTACCATCAGGTAGACTGTGTGCTCGTTTGTCATCTTTATTCTATTAAAAAACATGGGTAGCAGCGTCTTCCTAATAACGACTAAACGTGAAAAACTGCGGTCGCAAACCCGCTTGCGTGGTACTATAGCAAATATCCCCCCTATGAGGAAATCTATGGAGGATGCGTATATGTTCAGCAGTGGACTTTAATAAGCTGTAACGGTACGGAAGTATAGATCAATCAGTCCGCCGCGCTGCTCTAGATCAAGTAGACGGACTTCACATAACTTATTAATATATTTATTGCCAGACATGCAGTATTCCTCGCGATGTATTTCTTCATCGCCGAGCTAGTAGTAAATCTGAACTTAAAATTACAACTAAAATTTTTGCTAGTGCCGACAGGAATCGAATCCGCGTTGTTCGGGTACTGAGCTTCTAGCCCCTGAGCTTACCTTTATGATTCCTTTATACTTTTATTATTAACTTTTATGTAGTTTTAGTTTCGATTATCAAAAATGTAAAACAAAATAAGTTTTATCTAATAAAAATGTAACGTGGCTTTACGTATTAAAATGACCATGAACATGAAACTCTAACTTAAATGATATTCTTAAAAAGCCCTTTTTTTCAAAGCTCTTTTTTACATAAATGTTAGTATAGTCTAGTCCTAGTCCCCTACGCATTTTACATTAATTGCACATGAAAAATATCCAAACGCAAAATTATTATTTGTAGATTCGAACCCGAATTGCGCTGCACTACTGAACCGTCACTTAGTTATATAGGTATCCACATACGACGAAGTCATAGATTCGAGTCAAATTCCAGAATTTTCCACAATTTACTTACAAGCCCTCGACGCAATAGCTGTTTCTAGAACCGAGATACGAATTTAAAACGTAATAACTTTTTTAGTTATCAGCAAAGGTTATTAGATAGCGTAATTGATTGAATAGATCGATAAACAAATCAATTTATGAAAATAACTAAAAAGCAGGTCGCGAGTCGAAGCTCCGCGCGACCGTCGCGACGGCCATAATGAGAGGTCAAGGGAACGCAGTGCGAATTAAATCTTAATGACACACGTGCGTTTTCCTCAAAAATGCCTAGACCTAAATGACGGAGGACGTGCTGCGAAGGGCACTCTATTATTAACGATTATTTAATGCAGAGACGTCTTTGCAAGATGGAGGAAACATGCATATAGTTACATGTTTCCTATACCTTAATGAATATTCATACGTACATGCCAAACCATCTGATCTCGGATCTCTTAAATATTAATTTGCATACCTGCTTACTACTTAAAGTGTATGCATTCATCCATCCATTCATATTGGCCTACCAAAAGTCCACAACTGAAAATAGGCTTTCTCCAAAAATTTCCCCATAAGAGAAATATTTGCCATAGTTGTCACGTTTGGCAACCGCAGTTTCTTGTTTTTTTTGAGTTGTGAGTGTTATCAGGAACATGCTGCTGTCCATCTAGTTTCATTTACCTCTGTCAGCTCTTACGACACCCACGGGATGGTATGGGATACCGTGAAACCTGGCAACTTTGCCATTTTTATAATTACTTAAAAGTTTATAATCAAAAAATGTACTGTCAGACTGGGATACAATGTGACATTATATTCTTTACAGATTTGATAATTATCAGTAATTTAAACAAATACTAACATGAAATAGAAAAAATACTCAAAACCAAAAAATGGTAAAATTAACCTCACTTTTTGGCAATTTTGCCATCAGGGTTTATAATGAAAGTAATAGAATTTGACTTCAACGTTGAAGGTAAGTTTACCTCATAATATAATACACCACACTCAGAGTTATGATTTGCTCCCTGAAGGTGAAAGCTCCAGGGTGGCCCGCGAAATTCAAATTTTCTTACGTTTTTTGCAATTTGTGGGTCAGTGTCAGGTTGTATGTTTAATAAAATATGATTCGCGACCGTGACGAGTATGAATTTACAGAATTATAATCATTATAATCATCAATACAACCCCCTAAGTTCGTATAATCCTATTGTATGGCTATTTCCAGAAAAACTCATTCAAAGGAGTTATATGAACTTGGAGGGTTGTATTAGTGATTTTAATGATAATAATTCTGTATTTTGTTAAACATTCAACCTGACCCTAACCTGCAAAGTCCAAAAAACGTAAGAAAATTTGAATTTCGCGGGCCACCCTGGAACATTCACCTTAATTGTGTTGCAAACATAGACTTAGAAATTTTCTATGGTTGTAAATATCAAAGTTTACGCTTGTGGCAAAGTTGCCCTTGAAAATATGTGTCAGAGTTGTCAAAAATCCTTGATTACGTACTTTACTTAATTTTTTTATTTATCTAAAATAATATATAAAGAGTACTCTCGTCTAAAATATAAATCAAATTGATGCAATAATTAGCTTAAATCGATTATAGTATAGAATAAAAAAATCATCACACCATGCTCTCACAGAATATCAGCGTAAAATAGCAGCTTAATGCACTGTGTTTCGTATGGTGAGTGTAGAGAACCGGAGATCCTTTTTACTGGAAATTAGGCATTCCATCTTATTCCTCAGGGGTGAATTTTGATTCTTAATCGATGATAAATGTAGATGTCTATAGGCCACAGCATCCACTTAACATCAGGTGGACGACAGTCTTCTCGTTTGTGTATGTGTAATATGGGTATATTCTATAAAATGTTAACTACGTGACGATTTTTCGTTTTTGTTATTATCATTTTTTATTACTCACTTATATAGATCACAAATATAAAATTTGCACGTGCGTTTTATAAATTTGAAAGTCAATTTAACTTTGGTTTCGAAGCAATACGTCCAACGGATTTCCATTAGCTAAGCGTTCGACGTATATTTCTCAGTACGTGAACAACTTTGATTCAATCCCCGCCAGCAGATTGCCTATGGTAATTTAAAGGCGGATTTAACACGTGCTCGATGGTGAAGGAAAACATCGTGAGGAAACCTGTATGTCTAAGATATTAAATATTTCGGGGTAATGTAGAGTACGCCAACGTCCTGTAACTACTATCTATCTATAGCCTTCTCGGAAATCAGAGGAGGTCTGAGCCCATCAAGGGAACGTATTAAAAACTGTGACATAAAGCACGACACACACGCTCAGTTAAACTGATCAGTTGAAATGACGTACATTCAAAAAATAGACCGTGAGTGTGAAATCTTAAGTTGAAATTTTTAACTGACGGCAACTCACGGATTTTTCAGGTCAGTTAAACTGATCAGTTGAACTGACGTACAATCAAAAACCTACCGTGAGTGTGAAATATTAAGTTGAAATTTGAAGCCAGGGAGTGAGGAAATCGTTTTGGCTTACATCCGTTTAAACTGATCAGTTTAACTGACGGTCAGTGTGTCGGAGCTTTAGATTACTTTACTATGGATTTTTTTTTTATTTTAATCAAATTCATAATATTATACATTTTAAAGATATCTTGATTGATTATGATCTTGATGAGATTATACAATATGTGAGATTTAATGGTAATTCCTCGAACCAAGCCACAAGACGTCGGAAATTCCATTATCGAAAGTGAAAGCAAATACCTGCGGCTATACCGCAACATCAGTGAGCTGTATCTGACTATATTTTATATCATGTATGCAGTATCAGTGCATGTTGCTATTGCTTATGTTGCTAAATCTATGGCCATTAGTAGACTAATGAGATAATGATGACAAGTTTTATACATGGTAGAGCCATACTAATAGTATAGTTGTAGCACGAATGGGTCGGCGCGACCGGGGAAGGACCACGCTCTCGCAAAATATCAGCGTAAAATAGCATCTCAATGCTGCTGTGTTTCCTATGGTGCATATAGAGAACCGGAGACCCACTCTATTTACTGGAAACGAGGCATTCCATCTTAGTCCTTAAGGGTGATGTGAAGTGGTTGCTGTGACTCATAGACATCTACATTTATCCTCGTTTGCGAATCAAAATGCAAATGCGTTGTCACCCGTGAGGATTAAGATGGAATGCCTCCTTTCCAGTAAAAAGGGTCTCCGGTTCTCTACACTCACCATACGAAACACAGCATCGTTAGGCTGCTATTTTACGCTGGTATTCTGTGAAAGCGTGGTCCTTCACCGGCCGAACCGACCCATTCGTGCTACAACTATACTACTAATATAGCTGCAGCATGGCTCTACCTACTCTATTATATGATACATTAATCCATATCATAGAAAGTTAACTTTAACGTTTATCCTTTAACCGCTTAGTGGCTGTGTTTAACCACTACCTCATATCATCCTATGGTTGTCGTAAGAGACAACAGAGGGAACCAAACCATATTAATAAAATAAAAACTGCGGTTGCCAACCCACCTGCCAAGCGTGGCAAGTATGGCAAATATAAGCTTTGATAGGTTGTAATAATGATGATGATAATGGTGATATCATCCCGTGGGCGTAGAAAGAAGCAACGAAGGGAAACTCAAACAAGAGACAGACAGCTGCATCGTGATAATAGCTTTAAATATGACCGCGTAATGATTTGCAACATTTTTGCAACGTATGTTGTTGGTATTACCAGTGACAGGCCTCCGATTTCGTCATGATCTTGATAATAAACAACAGCGTAAATATACGTACTCCGTATGAATTTAATCTAACAATAAGGCAATAACATAATATTATTGTTTATCGATATGCGTATTTAAAGATAAGAACTACAAATATTGGCCACAACGTAGTAAGGCAGACGTCATATATTTTCTTCAAAACATCGTACCCTGATTATGAGCAATTTTAGGTTACGGATAGAACTTCCGGAGATTCGGCAGCTATCAACTAAGCAAGAGATATGATCGTGCCTTACTGTACGTATAGACAGACGCTTTTATCCCACTCTCTTCTTACACCACGCCCACACTCCAAAACACTACATTAGATAATTTGAAATATTTGTAGCAATTCTTTATTCCACTTCTGCAGCAATATTCATGAGATAAGATTACTGGGGTATGATATGATTGATTTTAACATGAACCTCTGACATAAGCCAACCAATGTTTAGTAAATAAACTCGAACAACTACAAACAATCTGCCACTGTTCAACTAATTGGATCGGGATTAATGAAACTAACTTTATCCTTACGCTATATGATAATATTATTGCCAAGTCAAATAAAGACCTCAGTCTGCAATTCTGTGTGAATTTCAGAATAAAATTTTCAGATTTCACATGAGAATTAGATAATTCAACATATCTTTCGCTAAATATTGAAATATTTAATACGGGGTACAGCCATGCTGCAACTATATTAGTAGAATAGTTGTTGCACGAATTGGTCGGCTCGACCGGGGAAGGACCACGCTCTCACAGAATAACAGCTTAAAATAGCAGCTTAACGCTGCTGTGTTTCGTATGGTGAGTGTAGAGAACCGGAGACTTTTTTACTGGAAAGGAGGCATTCCATCTTAATCCTCACGGGTGATAACGCATTTGCATTTTCATTCGTAATCGAGGATAAATGTAGATGTCTATGGGCCACAGAAACCACTTACCATCAGGTGGAGTGTGTGCTCGTTTGTCACCCTTATCGTATAAAAAAAAATATAAAAATGAGAAGCATATCTCAAATTGGAAACAACAAGGTAAAAGCTTTTACAAAAATTTACTTCGCAAATATCCGCGTTATAAAATAAAATGATGTGTCTTATATGATATTTATAACTCGGATATTTGCGAAGTAAATTTATGTAAAAGCTTTTATATAATGGATTTCCGCAAAGTAACGCCTGATTCTATTAATTATAACAACAAGGTAACTGAATCAAATAGAATTTTATTTGAATACACATAAATAATATATTTTCTCACATTGGTAATTATTGTAAAATTTATACATAACGAGCTTAATAATTCCGTCACAGATATCTATAGATTAAAAAACTTCAAGCCCTGCAAAGTTGATCGTGCATCCTTTTTTATCTGGTATATAAAACCGGATCTTTTTATTTGACTGACCGATATCTTCTCAGTCTGTTGCAGTTCTCGCTACAAATCGATTAAAAAAACAATTGGATACGGTAAAATTGCGGCAAAAAGAAAAAAATAACAATATAACGTTCGTTGGCCGCAAGCAAAAAAGGAACTAAGATGTATGGTTCTTGAACTTTGAGAGATACCTATAAATCAAAACTGACTTGCATTTTTTTATTAGATTTTAAGGTCTCCAGCATAGAATTTTTCGCTCTACTGATTACTGCAGAATAGAGTTAATTAATACATTTTTGTAACATACTATTTTCGTTGTTTTTTCCAGTAATAAGAGCGATAGTGAGAGCGTGGTCCTTCACTAATCAAGCGACTATATTCGTGCTACAACAATAATATAATTGCAGAATAATCTACTACATCCCCGATACCCAGCGATAGATTTAAGCCACAAATTTAAACCATTTACTGAGTAAACGCCGTGAAAACGTAGCTAAATATCTCCACGCATTGATCTTCACGGTGTATATCTGATGCGTCCAACAACCCACAATCTAGAGACTACCCACGGACCATTAATCAAGCTGTTAAAAATAAATAGCCTTCGCTTAGGCCAAAAATTAATGGACATTGACCTAATTCGAATCATAAAAATCATAAAATAAATTGAATAAATCGAAACTAATGCATTAACATTTAACACAATACAACGAGACAAAACGTTAAAACGAAGCTAACCATGATTGCTACCAAAGTTACACATCCCCCTAAATGTTAACACGTAGGTATACTTTTATTAGAATTTCTCTAACCCTAAAATCAATTAAGACGTAACAAAAAGAACTCGGAATTCATAGTTAATGCATGTTAAATATGCATTAAAATAATATGTTATCAGCATATTGATTAGCAGAATAATAACCTCAACCTTTCAACTAAATAAGTCCTTAGTATAATACAAAACATTCTCAACGTATCCATCTATTTCAAAACTCTTCCACAACTGAAGTTAGCAGAATTAATATTTTTAACCTAGGAATATTTTTAACCACGTTTCTTAGTACTGGTTAAACGCGCATAGCAACCGTTGCGCAAGGTTAGCCGACATAGTCACGCGACGAAAGCCAATCAAATGCCGCCAATGCTGTGACGTCAGCAACCACGCCTGCGCGCGCCTCCGCCGCCATGTTGCTTTTAAAATGCACAACGAAACGTCCGCGCGATAAAACAACCACTTTATCATTGTATTAATAAACCAAGCGAGCCCACACAACGTCGCACGCAAATAATCTGAGCCAACGATAACAACCTTTTGCACTCAAATGTATTAAGTGTATAAATTGTTTGCGTCTTGGTTCCCGTTTAATTATCTATTCACATTTTAGGCCTAGCGGAATTATTTCGCGCTCATCAATCATAATATAACCGACAAGACTGGTTTAAAATAAGAATGACGATATGGTAACATTGTTATGGGATTATGAACTCTAATGAAATAGGCAACTCACCCATCATGTTGGACATGAATTTTGATCTGTCCATCGGCGGAATCCATTTTGAGGCCATAGGGAGTATAGCGGGCCATGTCGCTCCAAGAAGAAAGCCCAACACTACCCTCAGTGCAACTATCCATCCGAAGCCAGCTGACGCTGCGCCGGGAGATACAAGCGTGAGTATACTAGCCAGCAAGGTGCTGTATCCGAAGACTCGTCTGTAGACAACGAAAGCATTATGTATTAACGGTTCCATTTAAATACAAAAAAGGGAAAGTTGACAAAATTAAAAATATCACCAACGAATTTTAACACTTCAAAAATATTTATTTAACAGTTTCACTGTCCGATTTTCAGACACAATAGTAAGACAATAGCCATGAACTATGTTATAGTGCACGGGACAGCGAATGGGTTAAATAATGTACTTAACACTCAAAAAGTACACTTTAATCCAAATAATTAGTATCTGCTTAAATTAATACCTATATAAAAGATCAGGGAAAAGTCTTTTCCCATTTTGTACGTCAGTGTAATTTAATAGTCAATCAGACCGTAAGCAATCTATCTAATCAAGAGCGTGTCTATCTACATCTAATAAAATGTAAACAAAAAAGATGTAACGTAAAAAAAGTAAGTAATAAGGTTAAAAAAAAAACAATTATTAACATACAAGATGCAGCTCACGCAGATAGTTCTGGAACTACTACTTATACTCTTATAAATGATTTAGTTTATCACATCTGTGAAAAAGTAGAGCAAGACCTACTTTTTCACAGATGTGATAAACTAAATACTCGTACGGCATATACGAAAAAGATATTTTGTAATGCTATATGTAATTGCAGAAATAAATTTCATTGATTGTGATTTAACTCTTTTTACGTAACTTAAAAAATCGGAAAAGTGCAAGAAGGACTCAAAACCTAAAGGTTACGTATAAACTAAGGTAAGTACTTTCGCTTACTTTCACCAAAATAACTAAGTACTGAACATTGCTTTAACGAAAAGGTAAAACGGATTTAAGGAGCAAACTTTGAAGTGAAAAAAAATGTTCTTCTGAGAAACTGTTCTAGAGAAAAAGGGTGTTGACAGATAGAGTTTCATATTTCAATAAAGGTGCTTTTGATGTGATACGTTTATGTGATTGATCATCGCGGACACGATTCTGATCACTTACGATAAACACGAAAAAGATCAGGGGCTCCTGAAACAACAGTGAAAGCAGGTTTATCAGTTACCCTGTCCGCGAAATAGACACAATAACGATCGAAATGTTCATATATGATTCATGGGACAGGGAAAGGATTAACGCACAATAAGGTAATAGTGGGTTAATGTATGATGAGATTGGAAAGGTATTGTTCAATATGAGCTTTGACCACTGGCAATGCCAATGATTCTGAAATCTACTACAAGCAGTTAGTAAAAAATCAATGAAGTGGGGTCGTTCTCATACTAACTCCAGACCGCGCACATGTTTAGCCATTCTGCAGAAATTAGGAAAACTAGGCTGGGATATGTTTATGCATCTATCGTATAGTTTTTGATTACTTTTACTGTAATATTATGAAAGAAACGTAAAAACTACTCGTCGAAATTATTGACCACATTTCATAACGTATACTGTGACATAAGTTACAGTAATATTGTGCAAATAACTTCAGAAAATATTCGCAGTTGTAGGCGCGTAATCAAATTCGCCTGAAGAATATAATAATCCAATGATCCATTTAAATTGTTGCAAAAGTTGGCACGCCAACAGGTCCAAGCGTCAATACCACCAACCACCACCCACATATTACACATAAAGCTAACAAAAAGATTCATGAATGACCACAAGCAAACTAATCTACGGTTAACAAATCTGTAAAATACATATATGTATTATGCGTTGAACAGTCGTATCAAAAGAAGGTAAAATGGTGATTCAATTGATAATGGCCATGGTATAGAATGTAACAAAATACTTATTGTTATGGTTCGAATAATAACTCAGTCCTCTTTGAAAGCGCCAAAATTTCCGGCAGCGTTATTATGTTAAAAATTTAATAATAATGTTCAAATATATATTATATTTATGTTGACAGTACGGTGATAAATTTTAATGAAGGCGCTTTTCGGCTTCAATACTAATAAATACGAACGGTTTGTTTTTTTTATAGAATAGCAAACGAGCATGCGGTTCACCTGATGGTAAGTGACTACCGCCGCCCATGAACAACCGCAATATGAATAATGAATAAAAAAACATGCGTGAGTGTCGTGGAACACTCGGTTGGAACGAAGTTCCTTAGTATTGATAATTATTGATTAACAAATACAAATAAATGTATTACTACAGTCTATTAAAATGAAGCGTCATTTAAAATAAAATACACTATGCCACAAGGGGTAGTGACGTAAAAATCTTACACTTTTTGTCGCCTAGCTCCCACACGCCAAACCCGTACCGTCCGATAAGGAACTTCGTTCCAATAATCTAAATACATATTATGTTTTCTATATTATATGGAGTTTTGCATTGGTGTTATTAGAACCTTATGCTTCATCCCATTTATCCTGTGGGTGTTGTAATAGAGGTAGAGGCGACTTAGGAATTATAGACAAATAGTTTACGCCAGAATATTCAGACCAGCAACGAGCTATAGCGTTTAAGGTGCGAAACGTCTAACACTACGATCCGTTTATCCAACTGCGAAGTCCTTCCTGCCATTGGAGAGACCTATGTCAAGCAGTGGACTATAACTCGTAGGTGAAGAAAAAGAAAAATCGGTGTTTATTTTAAATACTCTTCACAATTATTTCAAAAACTGAACAATGATCTTTCCTTATTGTTTTTATTAATCTTCATCCTTTACACCAAACTATGCTTATTCGAAAAGCACGTTGCTGTGAATGGGCAAAGACCGTAAGTACAAAAAAGAATTTAAAGCACTGAGCAAAAATAATAGTATATTCACACGACGAGAAATACGGTCAATGTCATGAATTTCCGCAAAAGTGCGCAACCCGCATGTGGACGTCGAGAACATCAGTTTTTCAAACCCAACCCAACGAAGCATTAGCCATATATATTAAGTTTTTTATGCTTAGTTAATAAAATTGCATCAATGTTAATAATTCACGAAGATTTGTTGAAAGAAAAATTTAGATTTAAGTACAGATATTTAAATTTTAGCGAAATTATGCCCGTATTATTTTTAGTAAGCAAAGAGTTCCCTTTTACCAAAAACATTTACAGAATTTATTTATACGTGAAAGAGCCATGCTGCAGCTATATTAGTAGTATAGTTCTAGCGCGAATGGGTCGGCTCGACCGGGGAATGACCACGCTCTCACAGAATACCAGTGTAAAATGGCAGCTTAACGCTGCTGTCTTTCGTATGGTGAGTGTAGAGAACCGGAGACCTTTTTTACTGGAAACGAGGCATTCTATCTTAGTTCTCACGAGTGACAACGCATCTGCAATTTGATTCGTAATCGAGGAGAGATCAGGTGGACTGTGTGCTCGTTTGTTACCCTTATCCTATAAAAAAAATTATACTCATGTGATAGCTAAAGAAGAAAAAGCAAAACAAAAAATGAAAAATTATTACATATTTAGTAATTTTCCAGATGTTGTATGTAGAAAAGATAACTTTTTCATAAGTTATGATGTCTCTTATTCAGTTTTTATTACATACTAGCTGTTCCCCGCAACTTCGGCCGCGTGGAATTTACTACGATTTCATGGGTTTTAATTTTTTTGCGCGGAACCCTAATTCTTTTTCAGATATAAAAGTAGCCTAAGTTACTCCTCGTGACATCAGCTATCTGTCAGAGAAAATGCCGCCAAAATCGGTCCAGCCGTTTCAGAGGTTAGCCTGAACACACAGACAGACAGACAAAAACTTTAAAAATTGTATTTTTGTTATTAGTACCGCATATACTTTCATATGCATTTAGTAAAAAGCTGTAATTTTGACATTACAAACAGACACTCCAATTTTATTTATTGGTATAGAATAGATATGTAATATAATACAATTACGCAACTGGAAGTGTAAATACAATATTATCCTCTTTTGTTCGCACTTCATTGTCTCCGATGCAACGCTTGAAGCGATATTATTACAAAACACTCCACTCCGCCATATTATCTTGAAAGCATAAAAACATGTTTAAATTTTCAGTGAGCTAGTCCATATTCAATTTAAAAAAAATTTACATCTTTTTAATTGTCACTGGAGTTGAAAAATCGGACTAAAGTCGCATACGACAATTTTCGTAAAATAAACGATCTCAACCGAAATGGCTTTTTAGGTGAAAAAAATGAGCTTTTCATACTGAATCGCTCTGAAGTAGTATGTTTTGTTTTAAAAACTGCGCAAAACAAAATTAAGGAATAGTAAATAACTACTATTCTTTCTTATTAAGACTCGTAACATAGTTATTATTTTTCCAGCAACGTTTTGATAACATTGAACATGTAAAATGAAATTCAGATAATTCTTGTACTTGATGCCATCGTCCTACATTTCTGGTTACTCAGCAGGTTAGTCACCAACCAGTTACAGAAGCCCACGCTGCGTGCGGGCGATTAAATAATGCAATTCCACTATTATATTTCATCGTGATCGTACAATACTCGTAAAACATTAACACGTCATTTTATAATATTATCTATAGGGTAATACCCGGCCCGCTACACATATTACATATATGTATATTTTTTTATTTTTTGCGCACGCTCACTGGACTGGATTTTCAACCGACTTCAAAAGAAGGACAAGTTTAAAATTCGTCGAAAACTTTTTTTTAATTATGTATGTTACCGATTACTTGAAGACGCCTGAACCGATTTGGAAAATTCTTTTTTGTTAGTTTCAAAAGGTATACGTCCCAGGTGGTCCCATTTAAGTTTTATCGAATTCGGTGCAGCGATTTTTTAAAAAATCAACAATATATTCATATTGAAGAGCAAATAATCAAGAAATGAGAAAATAATCTTATCAAACGAGCTAACAGTTCAGTGTAGTGAACTTAATAAAGAAAAAATAAAGAAAAAAAAATATGAAATGAAAAATGAAAAATAAGACGGATCTCGGATCTCTTACAGAATGCAGTTATACTAACTTTTACAAAACTTTTGCTAGCAGACCCAACACCTACCTAGCTGCTAGTGCATAAAAATCCTTTTAGTGGCGTAAAGATTTCCAAATATAATTTCTAAGAAAACCGATAAAAATAAAATAACTTAACCGAGGCGTATGAGGCGACAGAGTAAAATAAAACAGAAAATGGCCAGCGCCATGTTCCCCATAACAACACAAAATATAACAATTTAAAATTAAAAATGTTGTACAACCGACTTCAATATATATATTATTAAGGATAACTCAAAAACTATTCGTCAGACCTTGATCAAATTTATATGAGAGGCACCAGCTTTCAAATAAAAAAAGAATCATCGAAATCGGTTTACGTAGAAAAAAAGTTATGAGGTAAAACATATAAAAAACATGCAGTCGAATTGATTACATCCTCCTTTTTGAAGTTAGTAGAAAATGATGTTTCCAACCCACTCACCAAGGCCCATGTCAGCAGTGGACTTTTAAAAGGTTGTAATAGTAATGGTAAGGACCGGGAATTTATAATCAGTCATATTTGTATGACAATTGTTTGATGTCATTTTTTATTTTTATATGCATTATTGACGTAATCAAATATTGTAATAGTATGTCAAAAGAATGGATAAAATATGTACTTCAAATTACAAAACGTTATCCTTCTGATTTGTAAATGTAAACTAAATAAAAACCAGCCAAGTGCGAGTCGGACTAGCGTAAAGGGTTCCGTACCATCGTAAAACACGTTTCTAGTAGGAGAGCGGCCTTTAATTTTTAATTTATTTTTATTTTTATTATGTTGTTATAGCGGCAACAGAAATACACATTCTGTGAAAATTTCAATCTACCTATCATGAGATACATTCCGCTGACAGACGGACGGACGGACAGCGGAGGCTTAGTAATAGGGTCCCGTTGGTTACCCTTTGGCTATGAAACCTTAAAAAACTAAACCCGAAACCTTAAAATGAACGTATTGGCTTACATAGTTCCGTGTCTTTAAGCCAACACTAATAAACATTATTTTTTTAACGCAATGATTCTTTACTTTTACGGATAAAAGATGAACAAATGACATATGTAAAGACAGACGCAAGAAAATATAGCTCCTTAACTACAGTTAACGTATTTGTTTGCAGCAGTTGAAATTTATGTTTGTCTGTACGTAATAAATAGATAAAATAATGCCACAACGTACGTTTAACAATAGCGAAACATTCCACAAAATATTCAGTTTCTTTAAAATAAAATGTGTCAGGGCGGACGGCGTCTGTCACATCACAGTAAGAAGCGGATCATTGTATAGTCCATAGTTAATAGTCGGCAATTGGACATCACTGATAATAACACCATATGAAAGTGGCGTACAAGAATCCATCACGGAGCTATTACAAGCACAAAACATGCGCAACAAACATGCATAAGTTAATTATGAACATATTCATAACACCTAAGAATTTTTTCTACAGTGTAAGCCGGAGGAGATGATAGAAAATTAGAAAGCATTAATTAATGTTACTAATTGTCCTTCAATCATGCTTGAACGGTTGGACTGATTACAATGAAATTTGCAAAGAAGTCGATTATGTCTTGGAATGCTTTCTATAACAATTGTTACTAAATATCTACTAAAGTTTAATTTACGCCCGGATAAACGGGTGAGTATATCAACTACAGTTAGGGTTACCAACTGTTAAAACCAATACGGGAGAATTTTATGAAATCGAGTAGGGGTTGTTTGAAAGAAAATCTCAACCATTTATTAATTTTTAAGTATTTATTTACTTTGCTTTCGAGCAGCATCTAATAAGTTAGGGAAGTACCGTCTGGCGAGACGAACAGATTTACACCGGCAGCGGTGCGCGGTGTTGTGTCGTACCGCAAAGCGAGTGAGTAGGGACACGTGTAAGCGAAGGATGCGTATAATTTTTAGAAAATCTGGAGAAATTATTGCACCCCGGGAGGTCGGGAGATTAACCATTATTACCGGAGTCTCCCGGGCAATCCGGAAGGGTTGGGGACCCTAGCTACAGTACTGGTGGCCCGTCGACAAATAATAACAAAAAAGACTGAAAAGAACAATGACGCATTGTGTTTGACTTCACAATCATCATTGCGGGTCAAATTAGCAAGTACCAATGGAAGGGTCGTGGCAAGTCAACGAGACGTGACGTGATACATCTCGTTTACTCGCCCTGACCCTTCCATTGGCCACTTCTAGCAAGTTCGGTGAGAACGTACAATGTACAACGTACAATACAATGAACGTAAAGGCGCACTTCTACAAATGTATCGGCACAGTGTGTGACAAAATGTTTACTTCGGTGGACTCAGTCAAATAAACATTTACGAAATTAACCACAATGTTCGTGCACCCGTCGGTCAAGAGTCTTCAGTTCGAGCCTCATCCAACAACGTAGTTTTGCTCTTCGTTTCTTTTTAAGATGACTGCACAATATGAAACAACCTGCAGCACGAAGCAATACGTTTTCCTACTTGTCAATTTTAACGACTGAAGGCAAAGCATCCTCGAGGTGAACATTATCGGTGTTCGTTTACGAATGTGCTGGTGGGTGCAGTTTTAGTGGAATAATGCCTTTACGCAACGCAAGATACACGCTAATACAGATAAACTCGTTTGATTGACTTTCGGAGCGTTATTATGAATCAAAAATGTATGTACATTTGATTCGTAATTAGGGTATATTGAAATTGGATGATGTTCTCTCTGATATTCTATCTTGTTATAGTTTTAAAGTAAGCGAATTTGGAGAAGTAAGCATCTGTATTAGAAGTAGTTGCTCGAGAATATTTTGATTCATCATGCGCTCTTTTTGTCGATTTAAAAGCGTGTAACCCAAGTCGACATCCAGTGCTGCTAAATATTACGATAAAAAAAATTGCACCAAATAAAAGTTGCGATTTTTATCTATAACTTTACATGTTACATATTATATTTATTCAGTCCAGAAATTTTGAACAAATTAATATTATTTAATTTAGCTATACTATGTAGCCTAGTGTTTATAAAAATAATCCTTTCAACTGTGAATAGTTCTTTTTTATTTTAAGGTAGTCAGAGCGAGATGTTGAATTCTTAGAATTATCTTAATCCAAATTTGAGTTTGGCAAATCCCAAATTTTGAGTATGTCTCAGAATGCCATTTAATAAAAAAGCATTTGTAATAATCATTATCATATACATCTCTTTGTTATCCAATCCTAGATTTGGAAATAGAGCAAACTGAAATTTTAAATAAAGTCGTTGGTGTCACCATGCCACATGCCAACAGTACGCAGAACTTAATAAATTGATAATAATGTTGCTTCAGTCCGAATTTAGGTCAAGGCTCAATCACAACGGAGACTAGTCATTTGCGCAGGATAGGATTCACGAGTGTATGCGCAAGCACAGGTGCACTCCCGATTGCTATATAGTGAGGCTCCGGTAAACTACTGTGAATTTCTGTTTTGCCCAACCTGGGGTTCGAATCCGAGAATACATTTTTTTTTTATAGAATAAGGGTGACGAACGAGCACACAGTCCACCTGATGGTAAGTGGTTGCTGTGGCCCATAGACATCTACTTCTATCTTCGTTTGCGAATTAAAATGCTGATGCGTTGTCACCCGTGAGGACTATGATAGAATGCCTCTTTTCCAGTAAAAAGGGTCTCCGGTTCTCTACACTTACGCTATTTCACGCTGGTTAAGCTGCTATTTCACGCTGGTATTCTGTGAGAGCGTGGTCCTTCCCCGGTCGAGGCGACCCATTCGTGCTACAACTATACTATTAATATAGCTGCAGCATCACTCTACCACGTTAGAACTCTAACACTCTAACATGATCAGCGCTCGCGCAATATAGAATAGAATAATTTTTATTCAATATAGGTTATAGTACATACTGCTTATTGAAAGTCATTTTTTACTTTTACCACTGCTTCGAAAAAAAAACCTCTGTCCTGGGAAGAACCAACAAGAAACCCAGTGGGTCTTTTTTTAAAGCACAATTTACAATATAATATTTTTAAAACATTTAGAAACAGCATGGTAGGGATCACCTCATTCCCATGTAAGTACGAGTATTGTCAATTGATCTAACTTATATTTATGTGGAGATCCTAAAATAATCTAACTATTCAGCAATACCATAGAAGTGATAGTTTTTTTTTTTTTACTATTTTAATCCAGTGCTTGACTACTATCCCACCTGATTGTAAGTGGTGATGCAGGCGAAGATGTTTTTATGTATCATAAGCAACTAGAAAGTTTTATAATAGTTAAATGATAATTTGAAAGAACAATTTTGTTTACAATTAAATTATATCTTACCTAGCACCTATGATTTCAGCTAGTCGACCGCCCGGAAGTTCCGTGAGGACATACCCCCAGAAGAAGCAACCGAGCAAGTGGTTCTTCTGCTTCGTATCCCAATGGTATCGTGTCTGTTCTATGTGCTCAGGATGCTGTTGAAAACATGAGCGTTAGAGAATATTCAGATTTATATTCTAGTGTGTTTAGATATACACTTGTACTTGTGAATCATTTAAAATAAATATTGTGAAACAAGTAAAGTGAAGGAACTCTATTTTCGAATAGGCACAGAATAAATAATAGGCATAGGTCATTCAGCGAAACACAGCTAGTTTTCTTGGCACTATACTGCGAGGAGTAGGACTGTACGATAGTTTCAGTTTTTTTTTTAATTATGTTAATAGATATTGTATAATTTTAAATGTTATTTAAAAAAGGACAAGTATATATTTAAATCACAAAAATGAAGATGAAGTTTTACCAAGAGACAACAATTGCAAATATAAATTATATTCTTGTGCATGAATAAGAACTTACAAACGTTATTAAAGATTAAATTTAAAAAAAATAACCCATTAGTTATGTACGAGGGTGGATTGAAAAGTACTCGGCCTAACCAAGAAAATAAACAAATACTAAATCAGTTATATTTTTATTTTTCTACATAATCACCATCACGTTCAATACACTTTTGCCACCTCCCCTTCCAAGCATTTAGACCGTTGAAAAAAATGATTCTTCCTTAGAGTCAAAATATGCGTCTACAGCTGCTTTGACCGAAAATCGAAAATCTTTGACCTCCCAAGTGCTTTTTTAGGTTAGGGAACAGAAAGAAGTCTGATGGTGCCAGATCAGGTGAATACGGCGGATGCGGTAACAGTTCAAAGCCACAGTTGTGAATTTCAGCCATTGACTGTACTGACGTGTGAACACGGGCGTTATCTTGATGAAACGGGACTTTTCTTCTGAGCATTCCTCGACGTTTTTCTTTTATTTCCTCTCGTAAACGACGTAGTAAGGTGCAGTAGTAATCAGAGTTTATATTCTGACCCCTTTCAAGATAATCAATCATAATCACACATTTCGAGTCCCAGAATACTGAAGCCATCACCTTATTTGCCGACAAAATCGACTTAGCCTTTTTAGGGGGTGGTGAACCAGGTCTCCACTGTTTTGATTGTTGTTTTGTTTCCGGTGTACAGTAATGAACCCATGTTTCGTCCATAGTAACAAAACGATTCAAAAAATCATCTGCATCGGCTTCAAATAACTCCAAACAGTCGCGTGAAATAGTCAATCGCGTCCTTTTTTGTTCAACTGAAAGCAGTCGCGGAACCCACCTCGCAGACACCTTGTGGAAACCCAACTCGTTGACAATGATGTTTTGAGTTCGTTCATAAGAGATGCCTATAATCTCGGCTATCTCTCTAATTTTTAATCTGCGGTCTCCCATTATTAAATCAAGTACTTTTTTAATATTTTCGTCAGTAGTTGACGTCGAAGGCCTTCCAGAGCGGGGTTCATCTTTCACACTCTCTACCACGCTTAAATTCTGCTATCCATTTTTTGACGGATGAATATGACAGAGCACAATCGCCTAATGTACTGACCATGTCATCATGGATGGCTTTTGATGATAGCCCCTTCTTATGGAGGTACTTAATGACGGCACGCTGCTCGATTTGCTCCATTCGCGGAAATTATGTCCGATTACTTTGTTAATAAATTTATAAAATCACAACTAATTATCGCACACGTTTCGAACTTCACACAATGAACTAGTCTGAACTGAACTAAATAATGTGGGTAGATTTGATTTTTAGAATTGAATGGATCTGTGTTAGGCCGAGTACTTTTCAATCCACCCTCGTATTTTACGAGAATAGACGACATAATCTGACATAAGCCGAAATATTTAATTGTATTTAATGTAATTTGCAATAGGAAACGAGACAGTTACTTTTACATAGCTCGAAGGACCAACAAGAGTTATAATGAATAAAAATTGTGACAAATCTCACAAATGGGACAGATCGTCTTAGGCATTTATTCCGTCTATCTGATATTAAAATATAAGCCACTTCTTTGAATATTTGCCTTTGTAAACTTTTTTCTAATACTTTTAAATATGCGAACTAAAATTTAAAATAAGAAATTTGACAACAAATGTCAAATTTCGCGAAGATTGTGCCACAACTAAGGAACTTCTTTAATAAGATAGACTCTTTTTAAACCATACCTAAAACAGAGACTAACAGATTGCCCCCTGGTAAAAACATTCCCATTCCTGATTTATTCGATACGACACGAGTATGTCAATAAACAACGGCAATAGAAAACTGTGCACTTTGCTCCAAACTATCTCGTTATGGTAAGTGACCTATCGCCCTGCAATGGGACATAAGTGCGCCGTATACGCAATGAATGATGCAATAAATGTATTCCAATAGTTTAATGGAATAATCCTTTCTTTGTTATTGGAATGGAAAATCAATGCATATTGATAGATTTATTATTTCGATATTTATTGCATGTATGAGTATTTAATGCTCGTACGAGTAGATGTCATCAATCAATTGAGTACGGCAAACTATTGAATTAATCTATTCACAATATAAGTCCTCGAGATCAAATGGTGAGGCAGATAAGGACAAATTATATCAATATAGAATATTTCTATGTTTATTATAAACAAGCGACCCGCTTCGATTCGCTTATAGATTTAAGATAACCAAAGGCCAAATTTTTAATTTTGTCAAATTAAATCTCTAAAGTTTTCGGATAAAGCCTTGATCTGTTCTGGCATCGCCCTCCCTGTTCGTAGTTTCATTACAATCGATTAAGCCATTCCTAAGATCAGCCCAGACAGACAAACAAACTTTTTTTTAAATGGTTATTGAATTATTGATGTCTAAATGGCATACAAATAACTCCCTCAGCTCAATATACGGCATTTATTTCGATATAACATACAGACACTTCAATTTTATTTCTATGTATAGATACAGATATTAGATTTTAGTATCTCAGGTACAATGTAACATAAATTCGCTATGGACATCACTGTCTGCGAATCTGTTCTCAGACAACAATAAAATCTGAATAAAATGGTAATGACGTCAGTCGGATGTATTGTGTTGTTAAGGTACACTGTACACGAATAACAGTCGCGTCCGCACGAGAATGACAGATGACGTTATTCTCAAAATACAACAAAGTAATTACAAGAGAGTTCCAGTTATATTCTTGAACAAATTTACAATAACATATTTAAAGATTTCTTATATTTATGCGAATACTACACATTGAATAAAACTATTTTACGGATTTTATCGCGTTTAATTTACTTATTTTAATTCTCGACGTTCTGGGTGTTTAACAGCAAGCAATGGTCACGGAGAGGACTGAGATGTTTGAAGTCCCGATGTCACAGTTAGCCCGGCTATCTTCTGTTTTTGCATATTCATTTTTGGTTCAATCTACGCAGCTCATGAGCTTACAGTTTGGATTTAATTTTTTTAATTATAGGATCCCAAGCAGATGGCAGACCCATCCATCTTCTCTATTAAAATTAGGATGTTTTTTAATTTCAATAGTCTCGCGTATCGTCCTTAGTAGGAATCGGTGTTCTTTTGCGAGGATTTGTGGTCTATCAAATCTGACGTAATGGCGGGGACGATATTGAACATGTTCACAGACTGCACACCTCCCAGAGCGTCAGTGTCTCACACCAGCTATATGTTCTTTCACGCGGGTTTTAATAATATTTGACCATTGACGCTCGGAAGATTCTGTGGCCTCCGGCAGGTGGCGTTTTAGCCAACTAGATCAAACTGCGCTGCCAAGCTTGATTATGGCAAATCCAATACAATGGTAGAAACTGACTGTTTGACACTTGAAGCCCAGAATAAGGTCAACATCGTGAGTTTTAAAGCAATAATATAAGAGTTTATGAAAACTTAAACAGCGTATTGATCTTGAGGTGTGATAATTCTAATAATTATTTTATTTTATCCTGGTGATCTTGATAAGAATACTAGTATAAAGTTATTGGATTATTGTATTGTCATCGATCGCTGATACGAGCAAATTTTCAAGTCAATCGGCCGTCTACAAGTTAGTGAAAATTACATTGAAAGATTCCGTTACATAGATAGGTAGGTACATAGATACTCGTACATGCGAAGCTAATAAAAGTGTGTTAAATTAAAATGGTGAATACCTGTGTGACGTTCATGGAGTCGGTGATGTTTGCAATGGTGTGGTTGTCCTTTTCGTCATAAATCATTTCGACGATCGCGATAGTGAGGTTGACGCGGAGCGCGTAGTTCAGCATGAAGCCCAACAGCACCATGATATTCAATACTTGTACGCATGTTAGGCAACCTGCAACAACACTGACTTTTAGTAAGTATATTTACGAGCAACGAAATATTTCAATTTATAAAAGTAATTATTGAAATGTATTTCATAAACACATCCAGGCGGGTCGTGCGTATATCTGTGGTTATGACAGAATCATCAGCGCTGTAGGTTACCCTGCAGCGTTTCGCTGAGTCGTAACCTTTTCACTGGCTCGATACACACCCCATCTCTTGTAATTTTAGTCTACCATACTTTTAACTGTTTATTTTTATTTTTATGATGTGTACAATTTCTGTGACTAAATGTCTTTCTTTCTTTTTTTCTTTCATACCTTAAACCATCAAGAACTATATAATTTTCTAATAACAAAGATCTCAACTTTAGTGGTATATTATTAAGTAACAAAAAGAGAAGTTTGTCAGAATGCGCTTAAAACTCCAAGGAAGCAAGCTTAACAAAGAAATGTGATGTTTTACGTGGAAAAGCTACGCTGCAGCTATATGCCGACAGTACGAATGGGTCAGATCAACCGACGTACATACGCAACACCATGCTCTGAATATATTTTCAGAGTAGCCAAATTTTAAACTTAAGTTCTAATATATAAATAACGATATACTGTTATTGCAGTTTTTGAAAATACGAGTAAATAAGATTTCTACTTTTATTTGGAATTATCCCAAAATGAATGTGATTTATGGGCAACAACGTTTTTGCCTACCGATCGATCCTTACGAATGTGTGCGTGCACAGTAAAATCAGTTAAAATAATTCATTAAAAGAAAAAAGAAAAAAATTAATTAAAAAAAATTCAAAAGAGGGCAGAATGTTTGAAATTTTTTTATTAATTTATCTTCACCGTTTGCCTATATAACTTAATCTGAACCTTCTCTGCAAATTTGGCCGGTTATTGTAAAATAATCCTGTATATCAATAATACCAGCGTGAAACAACACAATTACGCAACTGTGTTCTGTATAGTGAGTGTAGAGAACCGGAAACCTTTTTACTACTAACGAGGTATTCCTTCTTAGTTCTCAGCGGTAACGACATGTCTGCATTTTGATTCTCAATCGAGGATAGACGAAGACGCCTATGGGCCACAGAAACAGAAACAGAAACAGAAACTTTTTTATTCAATATAGATTATAAATAATACTTATTGAAAGTCACTCTTTTGTTTGATTACCACTGGTTCGGAAAAAACAGCTTACAATCATGATGTTACACAAATTAACAACACAACAAATTAGAAATAGCTTGGTAGCGATCACCTCATTTCCAGGGGTTATTATCATCCATAAATTCCTTAATATTATAATAACCCTTTTTATACAAACTTAGTTTAATAAAGTTTTTGAACTTTGAGCAGGTCAAACTTTGTATATTTTCTGGAATTTTGTTGTAAAAGCGTATACATCGCCCCAAGAATGAATTACTGACTCGATGGAGTCGAGTAACTGGTACTACTAGCATCCACTTACCATCAAATGGAGTTTGTGCTCGCTTGTCAACATTTTTCTATATAATAAAAATAAATAAATAGACTTATGTTGGCAAACAACGCGGCTTTACCGATAATACGAAGGTTATCGATGTTAATTTTGGTCCTAGAAAGATAATAACTTGGCCCGAGGGTTACTATGTTACGAGGTGATTACCTCAAATGTTTTAATTTAGTACATAATTAACAAAAATAAAAAAAATTGTTAACGAATACATACATATGAGAAAATATTATATATATATATATATATATTATACTATGTGTATGAAAACTGAAATAAGACACAATCCGTTTTATTACTATTAAGTAGTTTATAAGAATTAGTCTTAGGTTTAAACGAAAGTCTGTTTCAATCATTGAGTTATATGTACTACGTACTAGAGAAGCCATTCCAAATTCCATATTTCTAAATAAAATGTAATAATAATTATCTTATGGAATTCACAAATCTTCAATTTACGCAATATTTAGTTTGTATGGATTGCACTACAGTTCAGTTGAACATAGTCAATGTTCGGAATGGCTTCTCTAGTACGTAGTACATATAACTCAATGGTTTCAATATAGTAATTCCGCGGGAAATATGCGAACAAATTGACTTCTATTGCTCAAATGCTCAAACGCTGCGCAATTTTAAGATATCGTTAAGTCTTGTGCTGTCTCTCTATCACTTTCAGTCAAAGTGACTGTGACACTGATACTAAACAACAAAATTGTTTTATGGCACTTTTTTCTTATAAAAGACCAAGTTTAAGGCAAGATCACCATCAGTAAACGACGTTTTGTAATAAAACCGGAATATCCGGATGTATTTAATTAAACGACTGTAAGTCATATATCAATTATTATAGATTATTTAATGAAAATAAACAGAGGAAACCAAGCTACTCGCTTCCGTTTCCCACACGCAACATATTATATTTATATTCCTAAGTGCAATAAGACGCTATTGAAACTCGATCAGATGTTTGTCCACATTGCCCGCCTCCGCGATAGTACATTAAACGTAATACAATGGTTATTAGAACATTACTGTCTGGGTTTTTTTCTGTATCGCGAACATTCGATATGCGGTTTGTTCTCGAAAATTCCATACAATTTATAGTTATTTCTCTTTGAATCTCCATTCTAAATTTAATCTAATCGGCGTGTAGTAATGACGAAAGAGAATACACTGCCCCACACCCATACTCATACCAACCTGTGGGTGTCGTACGAGCCGACGACACAGGGAAATGAAATATGAGATAGGTAGCAAAATCTTACTGGAAACAACTAAAATTAATAAGTAACTGCGTTTGCCACTCTCACTCACTCTTACTTCTACTTTATACGTGGTAGAGCCATGCTGCAGCTATATTAGTAGTATAGTTGTAGCACGAACGGGTCGGCTCGACCGGGGAAGGACCACGCTTACAGAATACCAGCGAAAAATAGCAGCTTAATGCTGCTGTGTTTCGTATGGTGAGTGTAGAGAACCGGAGACCCTTTTTACTGGAAAAAAGGCATTCCATCTTTGTCCTCACGGGTGAAAACGCATCTGCATTTTGATTCGTAAACATATATGGGCCACAGCAACCACTTACCATCAGGTGGACTGTGTGCTCGTTTGGCACTCTATCCTATAAAAAAAAAAACTTCAACTTATTAAGCATTATTAAGGATAACTCATCGTACTTACTTACTTTGAACGCGTACCTTACCACCTTACATACTATTGTACATAGGTTGATTGGTAGGTGATAGACCGAAATTTAATCCAGAAAATATAAAAGTATGGAATAGCTGATGTTGATTTGGCTTCAGAAACGGAGAAAGTTCTATGTTCGGCTGTATGTATTTTAGTTTTTTTTTTTTTAAGTATGTTTACCGATTTCTCCGGACCGATTTTGAATACCTATTCTTTTCTAAAGACTTCGAAAAACTACTGGTCAGATCTTGATCAAATTTATATGAGACCACATGAGAAGCATCAGTTTTCAAATAAAAAAGAATCATCAAAATCAAAAACTTAGAAAAAAGTTCTGAGGTAACACACATTTAAGAAGAAATAAAAAAAATACAGTCGAATTGAGTACCGCCTTCTTTGTTTGAGGTCGAATAAAAAGAATATAATCATCGATATCTGTTTTCACAATGTAAAGAATTATTCGCCCATATCTCGTACAGATGCCCTTACAAAATCAAGAGTTTGATAAATTTCTCATGGATCTCATCACCAGAACTTGACCAATTTTTTATGCGACCACCCCCGAGGTTCTCGTAAAACGTGGTAACAAAATATCGCTGAGCATGCACGAAAAAATAATTTCGACAAAATTCAGAATCTGCGCCATTTCTTTTAAGTCGGTTTTCAAGGCAAGACATTAAATTTAACACAAAATACGACAAAATTATAATACATTTATGGACAGATGGCGCGTTAGGCAACGGTAATATACCGGTTTCCAAACTACGAGTATAACAACAGTTTGTGATATCTGACACAAGGACGCTCAGGATCCTTACGCGGTCTGTAGTACCGTTGTCGTGTTTACATAATAATATATGTGACCGCTTGCGAAATTACTTATCAACCATATGTTATATATGGTTGATTAAGAACCGCTTCAACTGGTAGAACAGGTTAATTAAATACGATTTGGATTAAGCGAATTCTTTACATTTTTCATTCGCGCATACTTGTCATATAGATGATGGAATGCTCCTACATTATATCATATACAAGTTCAGACGAAGAAAAGCTTAGAAAAACACTACCAAAATACCTTGTAAAAATAGGCACGCCTTGTGTTTAGATGGAAAAGATATTTGACCGGCGCTGGCGGGATCGCGCCTATAAACCATAAAGTCCACAGGTGAACATAAGGATTTTGACGACACCCACCAGACGATATGGGGCAGTGGATATTCTTACACCGCCATAACACGGTAAAATGTAATATTTACAAGGTAACATTTTATTTTTATAGGAATAATGTTGATGCTTTGAGACTTTTAAAAACCTCTCGCCATAGTGAAATATAATAATTTCGGCAAATATTTTAATTTCTACAAGGTGCAATTCCTTATTAAAAAAATACTTGTTACATGATTTACAATTAACACTGGTTCAATATCTAGTTTCCATAATATCAAGTAGGTATTATAAATTACTCAAATGTGATTAATAGTTAAGGCAACCACGCTGCCTCCCATATTAATTTTCTTATGAATGTGATTGTACCAATCGTACATACAAGTAGTTTTGGGTTCTAATATCCTTCAAATTAAGAGAAAGATACATCTTACGCGTGTTATTGGGACTTATATTTAAGATGAAACATAAATTTTATAATTTCATAAAATATTTTTCTATACGAGTGTCAAGATCAAAACCCACATTTTCGTCGTTAATTCATCCTTTTAGTTTTGCGGCAGACATACGCCAATGCAAAAAAACTTGGCAACATTTGCAATAACAATACCTACGCAGTGGTTTACAAATAGAACTGTATTAGTGTTCGTTTCTTTT